GCCGCGCGTGCCCGCTGGGATTCCCACGGCCGCCCCGTTTGGGAGGGCTGGGCCCAGGTCAGGCTCTAAGGCCGCCTCCTTGGCGGCATCTGACCCCTCTCGGTTTTGAATTCCTTGAAGGACGGAGGACTTCAGTTTTTTAAAAGATCCCATCTTCCGAAAGGAGGCCAGGGCGTTCCAGGTGGAGGAGTGCCCCATCAGCACCACGGAGCGGGGCCGCTCGGCGGCGCCCGCCCTCTTCCTGCTCACCGAGAAGAGGCGCACGAACTTGGCGGGGCCGAGCCCGGCGTCCTGGGCTTCGGCGTCACCAGCGGCGCAGCCTCCGTTCTGACAGGCTGGGTAAGTCACCATGCTGGGGTCGGTCGTATCCGAGGCTGAACAGGGGATCGCGGCAACTCGCCCGTGGCCGTTCTGGGCTGTTGTCATGTTCTTGGAGCCGGAAGCCCGTGGCCACAGGGCAGCGCGGCTCAACCCCACGTGCGCACCTGTGTCCACCAGCCCCACGTGCAGACCTTCATCTCCGCAGCCGCCGCCCGCCTGGCTTTCACACCTGCTTTGCACATCAGGCTCCTCAGTTGTGGCCACTGCCTGCAACAGAGAACAAGAGCAGGATTTAGCCATTTCCCCCACGAAGGAGCCTTTATAAACAGGGGCAAGTTATTTTGTTTATTAACTGCTAACAGACAAAAAGGCATGCCCCATAAATGAGCTGATCAAATAAAAAAATTTTAATTGTTAAAGTTAATTCATTTCACAATAAAGGAAAGAATGCAAATATACATCCCTTAAAAAAAAAGATAATCATCGGTTGTGCATTCAATATGATGGTAAACTGAATCCACTGAAACTTAAGTTCTGAAAAACTGCTAGAATGAAAAAGCCAAGGCATCATTCAAGACTGTCTTCTCTTTGCTTAAAAAGAAAAAATTTTTAGTTTCAAATAAAAAAAGCAACGATTTCAAAATGTGTCACAATGAAATGTCAGCTTATGTTAAGTATAGCACAGCTAATAGGCAGACTAAGTACTTAGTATGTACAAGAACTAGTGCAAGATGCTCTCAGCTGCTTACTGTCTGTAGAATACCCCAAAATTCTAATGAGAGCTGCAAAATGCTGCAGGAACATAGGAGTGGGAGGGACAAGCTGAGGTCGTATTAGGTCAGCTTTGTGAAGGAAACCACATTAGTGAGGGGCTTCTGCCAACAGCATTTCAACTGGCAGAGGAATGGAGAGACATGGGGATAACACTGAAGTACTAGAAATTCAGAAACAAAAATTCAAATTAAATATTGCACCTTCTTCCTTTCTCCACATGCCCTGAAGCCCACCACACACGAAAAGCCTGCTCTCCTTAACTTTTCCCATCAGGCCAAGTCCTCCTGAGCCTTCAAGAGCCAGCTTAAATGTCACAGTCCCCCTGTTCTCAATAAATGACTAGTGAATGAATGAAGAAAGGATCATGATAATAACCATAAAAGGCTACCATTTATTAAGTGCTTACTACACGTCAGGCCCCTGTACTAAAAGCATTAGAAACAACACGCCACTGAGTACTCATGCAAACCTAAGAGGTCAATAGAATGGCTTTCATTTTATAGATAATCAAATGGCCGCTCAGGCAGATTAGGTAATCTGTCAGGGGATCCTGCAGCTGCCCCCTCCAAAGCCTGTGCTCTTCTCCACTGCTTCAAACTCATGAACAAACACAAAGACAGCAGTAGAACATGCACCTCAGGTGTCTGACTCCAAGTTCAGTGCCTCATGACATAACCCTGACTTAAGTCATATACCAGAAGTCCTTATGATGCCAATCAATGCCATTACCTCCAAAGGTAAAATTAAAAGCAGAAGAGAAGATGGAGAAGTTGTTTAAAGACCTGGAGGTCAGGTCCCAATTCAACTTAGCCTTTTTGAGTGCAGAAGAAAATCTGATTTCATGCAAAGAGATCTGATCTGCTTCTACTCTCCAAATTCTCGAATGGGTTTGTTTTTATTTGCCCCTGTGTCATGCCCAGTTAGGAAGGATTCTCAGGACCAGCCATAGTTAAAGGGCTGATTCCATCTGAGATCAGGCACACTACAGAGACTTCAAACCCTAGAGCCTTTCTGATGTTCAGTCACCCAATTCCATTAATCAGAAGCCTGATGGGGCCACCACATGCTCTCTGCAGTTTAATGTTATAATGGAGCAATTAGGGGACTGAAGTGCTGTGGGTTGCATTTGAATGAGCCACATAAGCTGAATCTTGAATCACCCTGGCAACAAGGCTAGATGTAACATCTAACCAGTTGCAAAATGAATCCAACACTCAGCATCCCCTGTCCACCTGTATGTACTCTGGGAGGGACTGAGGATTGTGACTGTTTTAGCTTTTCAGAATCTTGAAACAAAGCAGTCAGTTTATAGTCAAGTCCAGACCCAGGGACTGACTGACTGCATATTATGTAGTAATAACAGTCTTGTTAGGATCTGTACTGGATACAGAAGAACAGGCAGGAGTCCGTATTGTGTAATCTGGCTGAACAAAGACATATTACTGACACCACAACTAGAGGGCACTAGGAGACCTTTTATAACCCAGGATGAAACTGTGTTAAACTGACCCTAAGGACTCAAGGGGTACAGGAAAGTACTTGAAAACTGGCATGAGCAAAGGAAGAGGAAGTAATACGGGCATGATTGGGAGGAAGTATATCTGGGTGGCCAGCTGTCCCAATTACCACAAGGGTGAGAAATATTCCAGGATTTAGCACTCTCATGGCTGAAACTAGGATGGCTGGCCATCCTACAGTAAGTAAAATAATATAGTTAGAAGGATGGCTTGATGTAGTAGTAGAAATTAAGGTGAAAACAGGTTTAGAAAAGCCTGCATACCATTAGTCTAACACTTGGAGACTGTCTGTAGGTGTCATCTTTAAGAATTCCTTCCTGATCCCACTCTAATGAATTAAATCCCTTACTATGTGGGTTATAGATATCTCCCCAAATTGCTTTACCCAAACATATTACAATGGTAGGTTTATATGGCTGCCTTCAGAACAAAGCTGTGAACTCTTAAACAGTAAGAGTGATGTGCTTTACACACTTAGATTAAAGATTTTCTTAATGTGAAGTTGTATAAGTTCTCCTGCCTTGTCAATATCTGTACCAACGTAACAACTCATTATAATATACCACCATTATTTTTCCAATGTGAAGAAGTTTAGATTTTTAGAACACTAAAAAGTCTAAGTATTTACCTCCAAAATTTAAATTTAAAACTTAAAATTTATTTAAGTTTTAGGATATAGACCCAGTAAAATACATGCAGAAAATCAGTTTCTAATTGGAGCAACATGCTTTTTAAAAGACCATTGACTTACTATTTGGTTCATGTAGCTGAACAACGTGATTGTTGTGTCTACTTGGAAAGAAACTGAAAATCACGGAAGAAAGCTTGTCCTGGAATTTCCAAGTAACATACCAAGTTGCATTATTTAGAACTAACACTTTGACCTCTATTAACAAGGATTGCAATTCAGTCGGTGGTTTTGTAGCCAGGCTTGTAACTTGTGGGAGTTCTGCCAGAGATATTTATGAACAGAACTACAAGAAAGAATTTTAGATGGGAATATTGTGAAATCCATTGTCTACAAGCTAGATTCTGGGGTGTATGAACTTTAGAATAGAACATTTTAGTCACAATGAGAATTCTCTGAAAACAACTATGACCAGTAATTTTTAAATAAGAATTTGTACTTGAATTTGAAATTCAGGGATATATAACAAGTTAAATATACAAACAAGAAGGTATTTGTAATATGTTGGTATAAATTATATTAAATGGAACACTGGAAGAAACGACATTGAAATCTGAAATGCTAAAGGAGTAAAAGTATAGATCCTTGAATCACCCTATAGATCTCGGGAACTTCTGACCACTAATTGTAAGGATTAGGACACTGGGGCCCAGTGGATCTGAGACTTACCCATGTTCAAACTACTACAGGTGAAACCACAGTGGGCTTGGAATCAGAGGGACCAGGTTCTGCCCCAGCAGTGTCACCTACTGGCCAAAACCTGGTGGTGGTCCTAGACTTCCTTTCCTTCCTTCAGTAGTCACCAAATGTAAGAGATCCTTGCTCAGTGTGGGCTGCCTCTGCCTTAATTCCAGCATTTAGGACCTTCACCTGGATGACTGCATTAGGCTCCTGACAAGTCTCCTGTCTTCTGTTCTGACTCACCTCCAACCCAGCCACAGTGTCCTTCCCAAACTGCAAATGGAGTCATGTCACTTCATCTAGTGCTATCGCTACCCTTGGAGATGCTGAGATGTCAAATCACCTAAGCCTAGAACACAATACAGAGAACCTTTCTCATACTACTATGCTCTGTGGTATTTTGTTTGCTACCAGCGTTTTTCCCCAGCCATTTTTGTCTCTCTGCAGTGTAGAGAAGCACAATCCCCAGGCTCCTGTGACAAGTGGCTTCTGGCCAGGTTGTCCAGTAAGAAGCATTAGTAGGAGATGCTCGGGTATTTCTCTCTGTGTGGGCTGCTGCAGTAGCTTTTCCAGCAGCTGCTGAAGCTCTTCTTTGGCTCCAGCTCCAGCTAGGCAGCTCCTCCTGCCAGGTGGCACAGTGTCCGGCTCAAGTAGCACCACCTCTTGCCTTTATCCCTCCAGGCTAGGGGTGGTAGACTCTTCCTGCTATTGCTCATCTGAGTTCCTCACTGTCTTCTCTTTTGTTTTCAGCTGTGTAAAAATCTCTAGATTAATTCTCTTTGTTTCAAATACCTAGAAAAGTTTCTCTTTTCCTGACTGATATGTGTTTTGCCTAACTTTCATTAATTCAAATCAACTTTTCCCTAGAGGAACTCTTTCCTTCCTGTCCAATTCAGATGCCCCTTCTGCGTGGGCTCACAGCACCTTGGGCATGGTTATTTTAGCACTTACCATACTGCTCTGTAATTCTGGTTTTTCTGTCTGTTTTCTCCACTAAACTCTGAAAAGGTTGAAAATGTCTTTCAAGGCAGAAACCAGATCTTATTTAACTCTATTCTCAGCATTCAGTAAGTTCTGACTGAATGAATGAGGACAACGCTACTTCTTTGGCACACCTTAGGTGTGTCAACCTAATACTTGGGACCAGGTAACTCTTAGTTGTGAGGGCTGTCCTATACATTTTAGATGTTTAGCAGCATCCCTAGCCATGGCCCTAAAATAATGCTATTAGGAAGAAGAAATATAAAATATAGAGAAAGCTCTGAACACCATGAAAGTGCCATGAATTAGTTCACAGTGATTTCTTTGAAACTACTGAAATTTATCATTTTCAATCATAAAACAGTGTTCAATGTCTTGTTTGATAGTACTGATAAAACAGTTTGATAAACAATATTTTAAAATGGTAATATTGTTAGCTACATTTTCCCATAGTAAAAAGCTCAAGTTACTGAATGTTTATGTTCCATTATTGTAACAGTTGTGTCTTAATTTTGTAAATTCTATTTTATACATCCAGTGAAAAAGAAAACTTAATACCATAGGAAAGTAAATAAAAACATGCTAATAGTTACACTAATCACTTTTTAACTACCAATACAGGTATTCATTTTAATAGGTAGTGAATTTATCTAGAAAGG